AAAAAAAAAAAAAAAACAAAGCGAATGCTTTTGCTTCCTTGCTTTAGGAGCTGATATAGCTGAATTGATGCTGGATTTCATTGACTGGCTGACCCACCAAGAGTTTGGCCGAAAGTGTGTGGTCAGTATCAGAGATATCCTGTCCTGGGTTAATTTCATGAACACAATGGGAGAGGAAGCAACTATGAAAAGGCCAGAGAGCATCTCCACTGTGACATCTTTTGTCCACGCAGCATGCCTGGTGTACATAGATGGAATAGGTTCAGGTATGCTGGGGACAAGGGGCTGGATAGGGTAGAGGGAAGTTGGAAAAAGAGCATGCCCATGCCAGAGATTTTACAGAATCACTTAGTAAAATATTTCTATAACTCAGTGTATCTTTTCCTTTTCTTTTGGAAAGAGGTAGTACTTTGTTGTTGTTGTTATTTTCTTTTTGCTGTTGTTTACACCACTAGGCAGAAACTCAGTTGTTGTTCTTATACTGGTTAATGGGGTATAATTTAATGCCTATAATTTAGTGACTGTAATTTAATTTGCCTATTTTTGGCTTCTTGGCAGACAGCAGGCACACTCAATATCATGTCCCAGATTTTTCTGTAGAGATGAAGTTTCTCAGACTGAGCTGGCCTGTAAGAGTAGTCGTCCTAATCCCAGCCTCCCTTGTAGTTTAGAATGACTATTGTGAGCCACTGGTAGCAGCTGTCAGTTAAGAAAGGGTCCGAAGGAACTTTTCTGCCCAAACTGGCCTTGAGCCATTATCTTCTTGTTCTCAGCTTCACATTTTGCTAGGGTTACAAGCCTGAGCTTGAAAGGGTACATTTGATATTAAATAGTTGTATTTAATAAATTGGAAGTGGTAAGTATAAGTAGAAAGAAGACATCAGTGAAAACTGTTCCTGGTGAAGTTCTAGATAATTCTTAGTCTGATAATCATTTTTACTTAATGGTCAGATTTTTTTGTTTTAAATTCTCACAATTGCATAAAATTTTTATTTAAATTTTAACTTTTTAGTCATGTAGATTAGGAGTTTGAACTAAAATGATGAATAATGTCAATTGAGTTGTATAATACCTTCAGACTGACTTGTCATTGGGTCTCTGGAATTGTTTACTGAATAAGCTACTACTACATTGATGATGCATAAATGGGGAGAATGGGCATTGGGCCAGGGTCTTCTTTAGGTACCGCTCACACTAAAAGTTTTATTTAGGCTATTAACTTTGCTGTACTCTCTTTTCTTCGAGAACCCATGCTAGACCTCCTGATGAATGCTTGTAACCCTGCAATTATGCTGTTTCCTAATGTTCTGATGCTCTGTCTTTTAGGAGTAACTTCTTCTGGGTTCGGTACAGCACTCTTGGCTCGTGAAGAATGTCTAAAATTCCTAATAAAGAAACTTTCCAAGATAGTCAGACTTACAGAAAGTCAGAAAAATGAATTAAAGATTTATGATAGACTCAAAGCCAAAGAATTCACTGGGATTGAGAACCTTTGGGGAATTCATCCATTTTTTATACCAAGAGGTAAGAAATACTTTAAAGGATAGGGGAGGGGACAAGAAAGAGTAATTCAGGGCATGAATTATGATCACATTATATACATGTATAGAAATATTCCCAGTGAAAACAAAACCCCCTTCTCTTATATTTAATGACCTAACAAAAATGTGCAAGAAATTTAAAATACTTACTGTTTCCCTATAGATCAAAGTGTTTATATTTTATTATGACTTGCACCTTTAGTGTTGCATACTCATTTTTGTGGTAGTATCAATACAATCTTAACTTGGTAAAACTACAATTATCTAAAATGTACACAAAATATAACTGGCATGTAAAAGTGGGGGGAAATGATTGTTTTGTAAAAAATTCATTTTTATTAGTTGGTCCTCAAAACAAGAGCTTTTCCTATAGTAAAGCCAAAACCCACTAAAACTTATGAGCTCTTCTGTAACCTACAAAGTCCTGTTTAGCTATATCTTAACTAAGTAGTACCTCGTTTGTGTAATAATAGCCTTGTGAGTTCTTTAGCTGCTAGTATTTGTCCTTTGACCTAGCAATCATAGGGACCTAGAAAATGTCTGTGGATTGAAGGAATGGTAATGAATGACTAAATGAAAAATGCAGGAGTCTGGGAGACAATGGATTTGAATCTTAATCCTAGCTGTCCTTCTAACTGAATTGCCACCACCAAATAGTTATGACTAGCTATCTATAATTGTGTGTCTGCCTGCTTGCCTGACTATTGATCTTTCGTGAGATCCATCCACAGGCTTTTGCATGTTAGGACCAAATTACTTCTTCAACCCTTTATCATATATTAAAAACAACCTCCCTCCCTTTTTTTCCCTCTCCCCATATCCCTTCCCTCCCTTGAACTTCTCTCTTGTCCCCCCTCCTTCTCTTTTCCTCTTTTCCTTTCTTCCTATCTTCCTTACTTTTCCTCACTTTTCCTCTTACTTTTTCATTGAGATAGGGTCTAATTGTATTGCCCCAGCTTTCCTTGAACTCTATTCTCTTTTGAGTGCTGGGATTATAGGAGTGAGTGCCATCATTTTACCTCTTCCTTATAGCACTGTGGGTAGTATTCATTCCTATGTGAGAACTCTATGCCAATGATTTACAACTGGGGGGGACTTAACTCTGGTTGCAAATAGATGTTTTCCTTTTCCCACTCCTTCTAAACTGATATGCCAAAGCTTATTCCATAGATGTTAAGCCCTGAGAGACTGTTGTTAGTCCTGTATGTCAGTTACCTTCTTAGTTGGGAACATTTTTATATATTGTCTTGATGGCCTGAAAACCTTCTAGGAATATACTGGTTTAGAATGATGAATTGTACTAGGGCATGTAGTAATAGAGATAGAGGTTTAGAAAGAAATATATGTTTGTAATTAGCCCTAAAATATATGTACATGTAGGTTTATATGTATATTGTGAAAGAAGTATGCTACTGGCTGTTCCTGTAGGGATTTTATGGATCCAAAAGTGGGAGAATGTTGAAATAGGAGCTACAAATGCTGCTGGACTTACTGATGCTCTATTGAGTGGTTTCTTAAAATGTTGAGTTTTATGTACATAGCTTATATGTGACTTTGTTTTTCTTCACTTGAGGACCTGTCCTGCATAGGAATAATATTGCTGACTATGCACTCAGTGCAGGCACCACAGCTATGAATGCCCAGAGGCTCTTAAGGGCTACCAAACTAAACAAACCCATTCTCCTGGAGGGCTCTCCTGGTGTTGGCAAGACAAGTTTGGTGGGCGCATTAGCGAAGGCTTCAGGACACAACCTTATTCGAATCAACCTGTCAGAGCAGACGGTAAGTT